AAAAAGAATAATACATCATGACTTTTAGAAAAAAATCAATGAATGTAATTTACCATATTCACATGCTAAAAAGACATATGGTCATCACAACATATGCAGAAAAAGCATTGGACAAAATTCAGCGTCCATTCCTGATAAAATCTCTGAGCCAACTAGGCACGGAAGGGCATTTTCTCATCCTATAACGGGCGTCTCTGAAAACCCTGCAGGTGACACCATGCTTAACAGTGGAAGACCGAACGCTTTTCTCCCCGAGATCGGGAACCTCTTCTGGGCACCACTGTTCTGGTGGTTTTTAAGAAAACGAAGAACATCCAGGTTGGGGAGAGAAAATGACGACTCTCTGTTAACAGGCGATACGATCGTGTATGTAGAAATTCTGGTGGGGTTTGTTATAAAAAAAGCTGTTAGAACCAATAAGTGAATTTTGCAAGATTGCAGGATATAAGATCAATATACAAAACTCAGTTGCGTTTCTGTATACTAGCCGTGAAAAATTGGAGATTGATTTAAGAACCAGCGCCATTTATTATATACAGTAGCATCAAAAACGTGAACTACTTAGGGGTGTGTGGACTATGTACTGTAAACTATAGATTACTGCTGAGGAGAGGGAGTGCCGTGATGCGTGGAGGGAGTGTGCACGGGTTAGCGGACGGCACTGTTCCGGTGTCAGCTCTCCTCACACCGCTCTGTAGAGTCAACACAATCCTGATCAAAATCCCGGCAGTAGAAATGGAAATGGATCTAAAATTCAGATGGGAATTCAAAGAACTTGGAAAGAGAACAGAGTTGGAGGCCTTAGTACTTGGCTCAGAGACTGTTTTGAAGCTATGGTAATTGAGACCACGTGGTATCAGCGTAAAGATAGACAAACAGATCAAATCAGGAGAATAGACCATCAGGAATTATCCACACGTGTATTGTCAATTTACTTTCAACAAAGGTGCAAAGGCGATTTGGTGGGAAAAAGGTATTCTTTTTCACAAATGGTGTCGGAACATTTGGATAATCAAAAAAATGAACTGCAGTCTATACCTGGCACCATATACAAAAAATAATGCGAAACCATCATAGATCTAAAAGCAAATCCTAAAACTGTAGCCCATGTGGAAGGAAACTTACGATGAAGTCTTCGTGACACTCGGCTAGACTGTAACTTCTCGGGTAAGATCGCTAAAGCAGGATCTGTAAAAGGGAAAAATTGATAAATTGAACTTTCTCAAAATCCAGAAATTTTGTTCTTTGAAAGATACTGTTAAGGGGAGGAAAAGACAGTGCACAGACTGGCAGGTCACACACCGGGTCACAGACTCGTATTCGGAGCGTAGAAGGAACTTGCCAAACTCAGTCCCAGACGTCCCAGTCAACGAGCAGTGACAACCGAGTCAAAGAGACGTCACCGAAGAAGTTCAAGGAGAGATGTCCAGGGCGTCACTTCTTCATTAGGGAAATAAATGCAAACGAACACAACAGCGAGACTCCACTGAGCGCCTGCCGGAGTCGCGGGGACCCCGGCTTTGGGCCAGATGTGTCTGGAATCTGCACTCTGCTGCCAGTCTGGAACATCGACGTGGCTTTTAAATGCGTCAAGCGCACACCTGCTGTGTGACCCAGCCATGCCATGCCCAGGTGCTCGCCCGCGACGGGTGAACGCGTGTGGCCGTGCGAAGGCTTGGACGCGAGAGCGCGGCGCAGCTCTAGTCGGAGTGGGCACAGGGTGGGGACTTCCCCAGCGAGCCGTTCGCCGGTGAATGGCCGCGTCTGGTGACCGGATTCAAGCCGATACATACAAAAGGACAGACATTAATACACGTCACTATGTTGGGAAATCTCAGAGTAGTTTGGCGCAGCTCTAGTTGGAGTGGGCACAGGGTGGGGACTCCCCAGCGAGCTGTTTGCCGGTGAATGGCCGCATCTGGTGACCGGATTCAAGCTGATACATACAAAGGGACAGACACTGATACACGTCACTATGTTGGGAAATCTCAGAGTAGTTGTTCTAGGGGACAGAAGCCAGAGAAAACCAAGAGTGCACGTCACACGTACCGTTTATGTAAAAGTCTGGAGGATGCTCTTTTCTGAAGCACAGAATGGGTGGGCAGTGGGCAGCGGCGTGGGGGCAGGAGGCGGCCATTATAAATGGCACGAGGAAGCGGCGATGGATACGTTCATTATCTCGATTATGGTGATGGCGTCACTGGTGCATGCTTACGTCAGAATTGGTGAAATTGTACACTTTACGTGCATGATTTATGTCAATTATAACTCAATACATTTGTAAAATTGATAGTTTTACTTTTTATACATGTTGCGATTTCCTCCATTTTGCACGGATAGTCGAGAATTCTGTTTTTCTAGTTGGGCCCATGAGCTTTTACTTAGCGCACGTTTCCTTGCTTACATCCGGCCGTGCAGAGAGTAACGTTCGCCCATGCAGCTCAGGCTTCCTGGCTCTTCACCGAAGCCAGCATCGTGGAGCGTGATGCGTGTCTCGTGGAACCTCGGTCTAGAGAAAGGCTTCGAAAAAATGCACAGGCCTCTGGAAAGAGCAGGCAGAGTGAGTCTGCGCTGCCCGAAATGCTGCAGCGTATTCGGGAGAGTAGCAGAGCTGGTTCCGAGCCCTGGGCCCCGGGCATGATTCTGAACTTTAGGGCCTCATGACACAGGGCCGGGGTGGTACCCCAGAGTATGCAGACTGCTGCCCGACTTTGGGTACTGAGTACATGGTAGATACTGTTATTCACAGATTTTGAAGTCCTGTGAGATATTTCATTGGACTGAAACTATTTCGTGTGAATTGAATATACTAACTTTTACCTTTCAACATAGACGATTTAAAACCGACATTTGTTTTCCACCATGCCCGAGCAAAGCGACATATAACAATCGTTCTCCAGCCATAAAGAATACTAAGGTATTATGTAGTAATTTACGTAACACTAATTATAGTTGGACCTTGCGTATCTGTCAGTGACTTCACTTGGGAACTGTGATAAAATGATGTTGAGCCGTCAAAGTCGAGGCCAAAGACTGTGGACCGAGTTTGTGAACTTGACCTAGAGGGCACAGCTGTGGGCCAGGCCCCTCGAGTCTTAGTAAGGTACAGTTCTCGAGGAGCCGCGTGGATGGTGCCTGTCCATACCCGGAACCTCTTGGGGGAGGGGACAGCGCTGTCGGACACGTGCAGGCCGTGGCCACAAAAACCGAGCTGACGCCCCCGGAAGGGAGAGAAGAGGAAAAGCCGGAAGTGCATGTGGGTCACTCACAGTGAGGTCAGCGGGCACCGCAGCCAGCAGTGTTGTGTGTTGGTGCCTTCTGGGCTGTGACAAGTCTTACATGCGTCTTTTTGCGTGACAGATATGCCGATTGTCCTCCGTGTATCATTTTCGTAATTCTCAGCACCACCCGTGGACCAGGCCCTCGGTCTTGCTCTGTAGATGGGAACCTGTGACTTTCAAGGCTGCCACGTGGACAAGCAGACGGGCTCGAACCCGGGCCTGCCTTTGGCCACCAGCTCCGTGCGCACAGGCTGTGAGCTCGAGAAGACAGCGGGCTGTGCTCGTGGCCCCCGCAGTGGGGAAGGGGCTCAGGCGCGCACAGGCGGCAAGGCGGGAAGGTATTCGAGAACAGTTTGTATTTTCAAAAGTTCAAATTAAGGTTTTTCCACTGAAGCATGCAAGACGTTTTCTAAAAAAAATTGTAAAACATTTTATTTCCTGCTAAGTTAAATAGGTTGTAAAACTCATTAAATCTATCGAAATTTTTGGGTAGGAAACTGTAAATCGAGTCTGTTACCTACGTCGCTGTACCTCCCGAGGGAAGGGGCCCCCAGGTGGCTGGACAGGTGCTGGGCGCACCGTTCTTTTCGTCGCGCTCCACGCCGGTCCAGAGAGGGCCTCGGGCGCTGCTGGGACAGCTACGTGAGTTCGTGACCGTTTGTGACCGGTGGTGTAGCTGGGGACGCGTGCACTGTCGTTCCCGGTGACCTCACGGCAGAGCCGCACGCCCGGAGCGTAAGCTCTGGGAGCGCACAGGTTTCGTGTCCTCGTTCCTGTGGCGCCAGCATCGATGAGGGCGTGGAAAGAATCAGCTGCCCATTTCACAAGCATCGAATGTAATTGCATGTAGTACGTCGAGTTTATACTTGGCATAGTTTTTATGTTTTACTCTTGAGTTTTATCTTTAAAAATGTGAGATACTGGGCCAAATACTATCCCGACGACACATCTAAAGTTCGCTTCTTCCGAATCTGTTCTCATTATCATCTTAGCTGCTTTTGACCGTGGTTTTAGGAAGGACTGCAGAACGTGCCCCAGACGGGTCAGGTCCTGCGCGCTCCCTGCCTCTCCCTTCCCTCTCCCGCGGGGAGCCGCTCGCTAGGACTCCTGTGATGCGGTGCTTTGTAAACGTCGCGGGATCGGCGCTGCCACCGGCAGGCTCTGCCGCCTGGCACGCGGCTGCCGCAAAGAGCAAATGAGTGTGCATCGCATCTGTGAGTCACCGGGAATAGCGCTTGGCACATGAGGGCTCAATAAATGCTAATTATTAGTTGTAGGGTTTTTATGAGGCTTAAATTAAATGAGATTATGCATGTAAAATGTTTAGTAGAGTATCTGGCATTTATTAAATGCTCAGTAAATGCTACTGGCTCTAATTTAAATATTCAGGTGCCAATATGTCTAAAGAGGCTGTGTCTTTGGATCTCTGCGTCTGCCATACCTTTAGTGAATTTATTTTTAGGGCACGAGGAAAATAATTTCTATATTGGCTTTTTTACCAATAGATACATGTTACAGAGTTACACAAAATTTAAATAAATAGGTGATTACTGTCTGATTTCTCAGTTTAGTTCATTTGTCAGGCTACGCCCCAAGTTCATGTTTACTTGTACTGTTAAAGTGTCTCTCTTTGACTGCGCCACGCATCAGTGCAGTGACTTCTTCGACGAGGCCCGTCGGTGTCTAACCCGTCCGTCTTCTCGTGTCCCCTCTCTGTAGGTCTGTGGAACCTCGCTTCTCTCTTCTCCAACCTTTGCCTGTTTGTGTTGATGCCCTTTGCCTTTTTCTTCCTGGAGTCCGAAGGTTTCGCTGGCCTGAAGAAGGTGAGTGAACCGTGTTTCGGAATTAAATCAGTTAAATGAAGGCGTAACTACCATTCGTGGCGAAGTATAAAAAGTCGGCTTGCGCAGCCGTCGGACTGGAATGTGAGAAGTTCATTTAACGGCGGCGACGTTAGTCATGCTGCGCACGGAGTTGCTCTGCCCGCCCACGGGCAGGAAGCCATCGCGGACTCAGTGCTTTGTGCTGCGCACGCGTGTGCAGTGCACACGCCTGCTGCTCAGCGGCTACTCCCCTCGTTCGCGGGCGCTCCCCTCTGGTCTGAAGCTTGACACGAAGTTCTAAACACCTTAAAATATGTCTACATAAAAGCGATTTCATCGGCGGTGTTTTCAGGATGCAGCGTGTCGTACAATCAGATGTGCCCCGTCAGCTGGCCAGGCGAACCGGGACACTGCGCTCCTGAGCCGGGGTGGCGGGGTCAGAAGGAGGCAGCACGGGGCTTTTGCAAGAGCGTCTTGATAAGTGGCGATGACGTTATCTGTCCTCAAATACAGCCTTTTAAAATGAAAGGAACGGAGTCAGGTTTTCGAATATAATGCAAAGATTTAAGCAGCTAATACTTTTTGGGTGATTTTTAAACTTGATGAAATGAATTCTGGTGTTAGTTTATTTACAGACACATTACACCTTTTAATTTATAGTGAAAGTGTAACTGTATCTTATTGCTGAGTAATACTGTGACGCCCGTTAAATAAGTTGGGCACGGGAGGTTGTAAACGCGTGCGCCCCTGTTATTTCGTAACTTTTGTGGGTTCTCAGGTATGAAATTGTTTAGTCTAACATTTCAACCTCTCTTCTCATTGAAACCTGTAGTACGGCGCATTCTAGACTTCTCCTCTGAGGGGTGCCGTGAAGGAGCCTCCGAGAGGTGACGGTGAAGGTGATGTTTCCTGGGCTCCCCTTTCTGTTTTCGGGGTATCACTCTGTGCTCTGACAGTCTGCAGCTGGGACAACTGACAGTCGGTTTCGTATTCAGTAAACGGAGCGAGATCAGAATGGAAGGCTGCGTTTGGCAGTCATGTCTGACGTTGAGAACGCTGGTTTCATATATTGGAATTGTTTTTTATGATGATGTGCTTAACTTATTTAAGTCATATGTCATGTGAATAATTATATAGTTTCGGTTTAAAAAGCTCTTTGACTGTTCATCATTCCTTGAAGAAACTCTGGGAAGTTTTGTTGCTGAAAGGGACTCAGTGCAGACCCGCCTTTTATAAAGAGAAAACTGGGGCCCAAAGACAGTAAGTGTTCTTCAGGGGCCCGAGCACCCGCGTGGCCGGTCACAGAGCTCGTGCCCTGCCCTGGTGCTCGCGTCCTTCACGTGTCAGCGCCGTGGGGAGCTGGCCCAGGACAGCCGGGTGGAGGGGCACGGGGCCGTGGGCGAGTGCTGGCCGGGGACCCCACGAGCAGACTCCTGCACGGGTGCCATCTGCCAGCAGGAGGACAGAGGCAGAGTGACTTCCTGGGAGCCAGGGGACCGAGCTTCTGGGAGAATGACACGGCAAAGATGACATCCCAGAGGGCCGACGACAACGAGCATCAGAAGGAATGACGTCATCGGAGACGCACGAGGAACAGATTTGGGGGCATTCTGGAGCCTTTCCACGGGCGTTCGTTCCTCTGCCAGTGATAAAGCGCTCGCTCCGCAGTAATTGCTATTGTCATAGGAGCTCGCTGGGGACAGCAGTGGAAAGACGGGGCTCCTGCCTGCAAGGCCGCCCGAGGGGGATGTCAGAGATACGACGAGTGGCACGCACGTGGTGCGGTGACCTTGCACACGCCGAGCTGCTGTGGGGGGCGCGGGGCCGTGGGGAGCCTCGGGTTGCCGGTCCGGAAGGCTTCGTGGGGGATGTCAGATGCGACGAGCGGCACGCACGTGGTACGGTGACCTTGCACACGCCGAGCTGCTGTAGGGGCGCGGGGCCGTGGGGAGCCTCAGGTTGCTGGTCCGGAAGGCTTCCTGGGGAGCCGGCCTGCGCCTGAGCTGAGAGCGGGCGGCTGAGCCGGTGCGGCTGGTGGCGCGCGGCTGAGCAAAGGCCTGGGTTCTGGCCGGCCCGAGGCTGCAGGGCGAGCTGGCGTCTGGGGCCCGAGGCCCAGAGTCGGCCAGGTCCGCGGGTTTTATGCCCTAGGCAAGAGCGAGCTGGTGCAGGGCTTTCGCAAAGGATTTTTGCATCTCCTGTTTTATTTGAGTCCACTTAGGGACAAATACACGTGTCCGAGTTTAACTGTGTCTCCGAGGGACGGCGTGTCACATAGGAGGAGCCCCGTGTTTTGTGGAGGCGCCACCAGGCAGACTCGGTCGAGTCCCCGGCCCCTGTGAAGAGGGGCGGGGGGCAGGGGCTCCAGGACATGCCAACCCTCCCTCCCCGTGTCTTCCTGCTGCACGGCCGGGAAAGCTCTGCGGATGTATTTTCACACTCGGTGTCTTGGGTGGTACCTAGCTTATGCTGCTCATCAGAATCTAGTCATTACTTAAATAGATTATTTCAAAAAACCAATATGAACAGACCCCTCGCTTCCAAATTATTTTTCTCCCTCCTTGTGAACTAACCAACCAGAAAAGCAACTTGGCTGAATTTATTGAAGCAGAATTAGTTACCTTCTCTAGAATTAAAACAAAAAAACAAAAAACCGACACGAAACCCCAGGGACGCGTCTGTATTCTCGCGTGCCCTCTGCAAACGAAGGTCTCAGGGGACATTGGCTCGAGGCGGGACGTCAGAGGGTCCTGCCGGCCTTTCGCACCGACGCTCACACGACATGCTTCCTCCAGATTTTTTCCTTCTCGTCTCTTATACACGATCGAAATGTTCTTTCCTAAGCACGTCTTTGACTGCGTTCCTCGCCTCGGAATGCCTCAGGGTCACCCGCTCCGTTTCGTGACCTCAGAGGGACCGATGTGGTGAGTGGTTGTGGGGAACAGGACCAATCCGAATACTTCCCAGACATGGCCACGAGTTCAGAAAGGCAGCGCTCAGGGCGTCAGTCACCCCGTGCCCGGCCTGGGTCGTCGTGGAGCAGAATGAACGGGGGTGGCAGACACCGAACTGGTGACCTTGCCCTTCGTCCTGTTGCAGGGAGCAGGGAGAGGGGAGGGAATGAGTGTGCTGGGGAGCGGCCAGCTGAGACGGGGAGGGGACCCGGGGCCCAGGGCCCGAGGGCTGGCCCGACCGCCTGGGCTCTTACTTCATGAGGTTTCCTTTCTGTAAAGTGGGCATGGCGACGATGGCCACCTTTATTACCTAGAGGACGAATGAGAGGCGACTGCTCAGGAAGCCGGGCTCAGCTCAGTGCATGTCAGCCGTCGTCACCCAGCGTGGTCCTGGAGCTTACGGCATCTGACCGCTAGGTGTTCTAGAAGCTGCCGCTGTTGTGTGGGGCTCAGTACAGTGCGCTTGGCTCTTAACCGTTCACGTATTACCTTAGGACACTTGAAGGTTCCGAATCGTGATTCCCATTCTGAGGTGGCACAGACCGGAGCAGGATCAAATCTGCTTGACGACGAGGTGCAGTCTAGACCTTAGAAGTGTCGTAAAGCTTTACGATTAAGGTGGTCATGACACATGCCATTTAAAAATATTCCTATCTTTCAGTTTTAAATTAATTACGTGAAAGTCCCAAGGGCCGTTAGCATCGTATCGTTAAAAGTAGTTGTGCGAACACACACTTGAGCCTTTCAGGCTGCTGCCTCTGTGGGTAAGATCCTGGGCATGTACTGGGCAGGTTCTGAATAACGTTAAGGTTTTCAGTTCTGAATGTCACGGTGGTGTCGCAGCCGCTCCGTCTGCTGCTTCACCGAGTCACAGCGTGTGTCACGCAGCCGGCCGGCAGGTCCGTGTCTCCGTGTGTATTCCTCGGAGGCGCTTTGCTCGTTGGCTGCGTTTGACGCGTTAGTCCCAGCGATGGTGAAGAGCTTGGAAAACACCTCTAATTGGTAGAGCCAGCAATAATTCCAGTAATGACAAACCTGTAGTATGGGTAAGTTAAAGTCCATTTATATTCGTTGGCCACCCTCCTGGTGCTGTTTTACTGTGTCTAAGTCTGGTGGAGTCCCTAAGTGGCACATGGCCCCACCACCCTCCCATTGATTCCCCTGGGCCATCGATGTTAAAACAGCCCCTCGCATATTGTGCCGAGATGCGGAAATTGGCCACTAGCCACGGGCGGATGCAGAGCTTGAATTGGAAATCAAATTAAGCAGAATTCTCTACTTAGTTTTTAATTAAACCACTATGTTAATTCAAACAGGCCATTTTAAGCCTGGGGGGTTGGCCCTGTCCTTTTAAGGGCCTCAAATGGCCTTGCGGCTTTCTCCTGACCGTGGCCTGCGTTCTGTTTTGATGAGACCATCTCCTCGCTGTGGCTGGTCTCTGACTCTCAGGGCAAGGAGGGTGTCCGTGGTTCCGAAAAAGCGTGTTTGTCTGTCTGTTTTAGGTAGAGGGCAGCTTTCATCTTGGAACTCTAACCTGCCATTAGCAATTAGATATTTACCAAATTTGGATGATTCCGCCGTCACCAGTATGTATTGTGTGGAGCTTCGTATCTGTTCACTGAGTCTGACCCTGACCCCACGCCCGCATCTTGACGTTTCAGCTCTGATGAGGCGGCGGCATCTGCGGCGTGTGCTTGTTTGCGGTAGAGATGCCGTTTCTGCAGTTTCTACCTCGCTCGCTCAGCCGCCGACCGGAATCCGGGGGTCTCGGGCCCACGGTGCTGCCGTCCTCATCACGCTGCCAGTTAGCTGTGCCGTTTTCTCTCTCCACATCTCAGAGAGACCGCCGCCCTGGCCGGGTGGTGTCAGGAGATGGCTTCCGATCGCCTCGTGAACCCCGAGGTTGACCCCCCGGCCCGGGTTGGAATCGGAGTGAAGAATGTGTTTGTTTCATGTTATGTTTCCACATCTAACTTTGAATGAAAACGGTACGAGGGAAACAACTCAGCAACTTAACACAAGTGCAAAAACCTCGCCGGTGACAGATGA